GAATGTCATTAAAATAGAATCAGCCCAAGAGCAATTTCCTATATATGTGAGTCATAAAACCTGTTTTCAATTTCATCAATATTCAGCCTTATACCAAGGAAAGAAAAGTCCGAAGCTAACTGTAATATCCTAAAGTTTAATTAAGGATTTAAAAAAAAAAACAGGGGGGGAAGAGTCAACAATTACAGCGGAAAGAGATAGAATAAAGAAGAAGAAGAAAAGTTGAAAGTTGAAAGTGGAGACATGGAAAGTTGGTGCGTGGAAAAAAATTGAGGCATAGAAAAACTGATCCATTTGGATTAGGAATGAAGACTTTGGGGGAGGAGATGAAGACTTTGGGAGAGGAGGATTTAATGCCAGAAGAAAAATGGGAGCGAGTGGTTGGAGGAATGAAGAATAAAAGGGAGAGTGGACACGGAAGATAAGGCATATGTTGAGAGAAGGAGAGAGAATTAGAGACAGAGAGAAAGAGAGATAGAGTGCGTGAAAGAGTGCAGAGATCTATCGACGGTCACTGTGAGGAAGAAGGCAAGCTTTGAAGATATTTTAGGTACATAAAATTACTTCTTTTTATCAAAACTTTCTTTATGAATATTTCCTGTATATTTTGAGCTTCCTATTTACATTATTACTATAGTGATTAAAGAAAATTTTGAGACTTATATATGATCTAAGTATTGAGTTTTGACAAAAAATGACTATAAAAATTTAGAAAAAAATAAGTTGTTAATTTTAATCGGTTTAGATTTCTCTATTTGTTAGTTTTAGTATTTAAATTAATTTATTTAGTTGAAAATCTATTATTTATGGGATATATCATATTTTTACCAATTAAATTCAAGTTAGATAATTTATTTGGATTGTTTGATATATTATTAAAATTTTAATCGGTTTAATTTTATTTATTGGGTGACTGGAGGTTTTAAAATAATTATTGTAGTTAAAAAGTTTATTATTTGTGGAAATATATATATGTTAGTTATACCATTAAAGTTTTGATTAGATTATTTATTTATAAATATTTGAAGTATTATTGAATTTTTGATAGTTTGATTTTGAGGTTTAAACTTAAAATGGGATTTTTAGAATTTAGAACATAATAATTTTATATTTGGAAATTGTGGAAAATCCTTTTTATTAAGGCAAATAATTTGGAGGTGATAAATAAATAATTATTTAATCCGTAAAAATATAATATAAAAATTATAATATCCTGATATTTAAAAAAAATTAAAAAAAATATAATAGAGTCAACTTTCCACCAACTTTCGGTGGGAAGTTGAAATTTGAAGTGGAAAATTTGGGGGAGAGTGGAAAAATGGGGCAAACGTATGAAAAGGAAAATTATTCTACGCATGACCTAGAATTAGCGGCGGCGGTTTTTACATTGAAAATTTGGAGGCACTACTTATATAGATCACATTTTGAAGTCTTCAATGATCACAAGAGCCTGAAGTATTTAATAGATGAGAAGGAATTGAATAATAGATAACGTCGGTGGATGGAATTCATCAAAGACTACGACTTTGAGCTTAAGTTAACAATCAATATTGCTCGTAATATGTGTTTATTTCTTTAAAACATGATAGCGATTTTAAAATTTTAAGGTTTTTTCTTTTTTATCATGGTTAATCATTCAAATAAATTGTTGGATTTAATCTCCCATACGGCTCCCCTGAGCCTATCTCCTCTACATATAGCCTCTACGGGCTAAATCCTTTTGACTTTGACTCTTGCCTTTGCTTGAACTCCCAGAGTTCCCATAATTATAACTATTCTTTTTATTAAATCATTTTAGATTAAATCCAACAATTTAGTTGAATGATTAACCATGATAGAAAAAAAGAAATCTTAAAATTTTAAAATCGATATCATGGTTAAAAGAAATAAACTCATATTACGAGCAACATTGATTGTTAACTTAAGCTCAAAGTCGTAGTCTTTGATGAATTCCATCCACCGACGTTGTCTATTATTCAATTCCTTCTCATTTATTAAATACTTCAGGCTCTTGTGATCACTGAAGACTCCAAACTATGATCCATATAAGTAGTGCCTCCAAATTGTTAATGCAAAAACCGCCGCCGCTAATTCTAGGTTATGTGTAGGATAATTCTCCTTTCTATATGTTTGCCCCATTTTTCCATTTTCTCCCAAATTTTCCATTTCAAATTTCAACTTTTCACCGAAAGTTGGTGGAAAGTTGACTCTATTATTTTTTTTTTATTTTTTTTAAATATTAGGATATTACACTAACCCCCCTAATCACCCATCCCCTGTTTTGGCAATCAGGTACCAGAAAAAAAATGAACACAAACAGCAGCATAAAAGTGCAGGACTACTCTCACACAACTCCAAATTTATGCTTCAGTCAAAGCTTTCATGCGATTCTTGAATTTCTCTTCCTAAGGCAGGATTTTTATTTGTTTCTTCCACTCCCATAAAGCTCCAATCAAAGAAAACAAGGATAGATGAAAGCCTGAAAGACTCATCTTAATCAGAAAAGCACGCTTACATGCAAAGAAAACACCTCTGATTCTTCCTCATGGTCGCTTGTCTTCCTCTCGCCCTTTCAAGCTTTCTCTGTTCCTTCTCCTTTTATTCAAGTTGGTAGCAGAGGAGAATGAGAAGGGAGGAGGCGTTTTTGGCATATTAAAAGGGGCAAGGGATGTGAAATGACCATCATACCCTTTTGTCTTTATTTTTTTTCAATTTGATCCTTCTCTATTTTATAGGAAAATCAAATAATTCCAGAAGTCAAACTTGGACATTTTATATGAATTTTCTTCTTCCATTAGCTTCTTTAGTCCATGAAATAATTATCCTAAAATCTCAACTCAAAAATTGTCCTCTAACTATTTTTCTTGAATTTTCCAAGAAAATAGGTCTTAAATTCTTGAAATTAACTTTATAATTATTCAGACCATATTTTAAGGGTCTTAATCTTAACAATTTCTCTAAAAATTTCTCATTTATCATGCTTTAGTCAAATCCATAAAATTTAGGATATTACAGATTTTCGTAACCTACAAATGACTATGTAGGTATTAGTTGTCTACCTGAATAACACGATCCTTTTAGGTTAGTGTTGCAAGTCCGACTTTAACATTCAATGTATAGGTTGTCCTCACTTGAGATTCTTAGATATTAATCGACAACGCCTCGGTGTAACACGCGTTTGAAGCCTGTGATTAGTCCTGGCTTTGTGTTTCATTAGCACGGGATCCCTATGCACCCGCAATGTGAATTTTTCAGAAGTGCATGGTTGGTTTAATTGTTGATCCTTTCGGTTGATCAAGAAAATTAGTTATTTGTAAAATGTGTATGTTGGTTTTTTTTCCCTCTTCAGAATATCTTTCTTAATACTTAGTAGTTTGCATTGTAAATCATTCCCAATGATTGTATTCTTCTAATCGAGTTATTTTTAATATGTTTTACGTAGATAAAAAAATTTAAATTTTATTTACTTTTATTTAAAATTTAATAAGTTTTTAACTTTATCACTATTAAATATATATTATATCTTATATAAATAAAGGTAACATAATAATAAATGAAAAGTAAAATTATATATTTATAAAAAAAATTGTGTCTTATAAATATGATTAAATTTTTTTTTTTTTTGCCTTATAAATATGACTAGAGAACTATATTTTAATGTCCGTAGTTTAAGGTGAAATTGATGAAGATAAAGGAAATTGATAGCAATGGCAAAGCCATATAGTACTACACGAGTAGCCTGAGTAATTCAATCTACTATGATTCAAAATTAGGGGGTGGTTTGGGCACCACAAAAAATGTTTTTCAAAAACACTTTTTTACAAATCGAGATAAATTTTTTTACATATTTATTTTATATATTATAAAAGCACTTTTAAAACTATAGTTTTGATTCCATTCAAACACTCTAGGTCTTATGTAATAAGATTCAGTTATTTTAGTCAGGAAGATGAATTTTAACTTCTGGGGTTAGGTTCTGCAATGCATTGATCATATCCATGGAAAGCATCTCTCGATCACCCTAAAGGAATTTTGTGTGCTCCCAGCAATTTATTTTCATTACAGGACGTTGTTTGCGCTTACTCATTCTCTCTAACTGTTTCTTGAGCCTGTTCAAGCCTGTCCCTTGAATCTTTTATCTATATGGGAAGTATCTATAAAGGCATGATTTGACAAAGGCGCTGAATATTTTTTGCCTTTGATAGAATCACAAGTCAGACACAAGATGTATGTTGGAGAGGGAGGCGAAATTTAACATAGAAAATATTATACTCCTCATTATTGTTTTTTGTGCTTGCTTAGCCAGTGGCATCTCCTTAAAATATATATATGTGTGTGTGTGTGTGTGTGTATTTTTACCCCACAATCAAACTTTGTTGAAGAGATGTAAAACATGCGCCGCAAAATCATCAAAATGTAACAGCCAATAAATGGCGTGCAAAGGTTGAGACTTGCCACAAAAATGAAGTAAATAAATTGGCTCAAACTGCCACTTCGGCAGAAGAACGCATTTTCCAATGTCAAGGGACGAAAAACCATTACATGCTATTGGAGAATTATACTCTTATGATCTTATTTATAGGATAGAAAAAGAAGATATTTTTTTAACCTATTTATAAAATATTGAGAAATTTTTTTTATATGAATATACAATTTTATCTCTCATTTATTATTGTTGTGTTGACTTTATTTACATAATGATAAAATGTATATTAAATAGAGATAAAGTTGAAAAGCTATTAAATTTTAAATGAGAATTAATAAAGTTTAAGGTTTTTCTTAAATTGTGTGAAACATACTGAAAGTGCCTTATAAATAAAACCGGATGCGTATTATTTACACCCTCTTTAAAAAATATATATATGAAAAAAGAACATAAAATGACGCACGGAAGAAAGATAAAATAATAATTTAAAAGATAAAACTTGAAAAAATAACTAAATCATTATAAAGAGGAAAACTTATAACATGGAGCTGCATATGAAAGCCTAGAATGCATATGAAAAAATAACTAAATCATTATAAATAGGAAAACTTATAACATGGAGCTGCATATGAAAGCCTAGAATGCAGTAGAATCAATATTTACATCTCATTCCTTGCAAAGCCAAAACTAGACACCTCTAAAAGACTCTTATTTGCTTATTTAGTTTTTCACAAATAATCTGGTATCCGAAGTTAAAGTAGACTCAGAGTAATTCAGATTTAAATTGGGTTAGGCTCAAAATGGAGTAATTCCTAAGAAAACTTTCTTCTTTTCTTTCCTTGTTTGGTATTCTGTACATACTTGGACTTCAGACTTTTGTTAACGCCTGAGGGCTGATCTAGCCAGACTTTAGTACTGAATCCACAAATTGCATGATGCGGTAAGAATGCAGGGAGACAAATACTTGGTTGGTTGCAGAGAAACATGGGGCAGCCAGTACCATCAAAAAATTTATGTAACCTATGGATAATCTAATTCGGATTGAATTCGCCAAACTTGTGCTTTTCTTCGTGCAGCTGCTTGCATACATGATCTAGTTCTGGAAATGCTGTCACCATTAGTAATTCAAGAAGGTCAAAAGCCAGCTGCTTCAAACAAACAGATGACTGCAGGAACAGAGTTAAAAGCCATTACAACTTGCAATCTTATGTTCAATCAGTGAAAATGGGAATTCTAAACCCCAAGCAATAATATCGGTTGAATTCTACTTCAGTAAGATAGAATTTAGATGACAATGGCACCAACAAAACCGCTGGAAACCACATAGAATCATTCAGTTAACCTGAAATATTGCGTCTATAAGCTTCTTCACCCCTTCCGGTGCTAATAACTAGAATTAAAAACGGAGGACAACAATGCCGCTTTAAATTTAATTACAAGGGCAAAAACCATGGTGTTGAGGTGATGCGCGCGCGCGCACACACTCAACTTATGTTTTATAGAAGAAACTAATGGCAAAATCTTAAAGAGGAAAAATACCTGAAGGAAAAAATAGAGGTTCCTAGCACACTGTTCATACTCCTTGCGACCAACAAGACCTACAATTGCTGTTGGTGCATGATCTACAAGCACAGAAATGTCAATAATTTGTTTGGCAGAAGCCATTTGCTTAAATATAGTATATTCAATACTGTCAATTCTGGAAATAACTGGAGAGCTAATAGTGCAACATGTATTACCAATCATTAGCTCGTACACAAACTGTGCACGACGTTCTTCCTCTTGTTTCTGCTTATCCTCCATGCTCTGAGAACATAAATCTTTAGGTTTCTGGCCGTGAGGTGAATTCTGAGCTGGGCTGGAACGTGGCGGGCATCGAGTTGGATGCTTGGTTATGAATATTCCATCAGGCCATAGTATCTATATAGATTGTCCAACAACTCATATCAACATCATATATTTTTGTCTAGCATGCTATTCAAAGCTGAGTTTTTTGCTCAGGAATATCACTGGGTTGTAGCAAAATAAAAATTATCAATATTTAAAGGTAAAGTACACCCCTTTCCAATAGAAGATACCCAAATTACATGAATCTCCCGTCTTAAGAAAATGCAATCCCCTCCCTTAAGTTTGATTTTAAGAAGATGAGCTATACTTGCTTCCCCTGCACTAAATTAAGTCAAATGGACATCTAACGGCGCCACATGTATTATTCCCATCTAGGTTGTATCAAAAATACTAACAGACCATGTCTCAATTATTCAGAGGGTAAATTACTCTCTTCTTTTTTTAGAAAAAAGGTCCAAATTATATGGTATTCTCTATTTTGAAAAAGACATTCCGCTTGAACTCGGAAGTTAAAAGAAACTCTAACTTTCTTGGCAATTAAAAAAATAAATTACAACTACTTTGATCATAAGACACTTAAACATATTACCTAAATAACATAGTAAGTATTATATGTACTAAAACAAACAAGATATTCAACTTCCTTTTGGTTTGGAGGTGCTCGCTCTTTTCATGTAAAAGAAAAAAGACCAATGATTGTCAAAACAAAATAAATAATTAACACTGAAATCTAAAAGGGATGTTCACTAGCAAATTCTATTTTTAATAAAAGAAACTAATAATATTCTTAAAGCTATTTTAGCCATTTCTTGATTTTAATGGGGGTTTTTATACTTATGTCCATAATAGAAGGCACAATTATATAATTTGAATATCTATCTGGGAAGGAGAGTGTTATTCATCCATATTTAAATTAAATGTTTGAAGAGACTCAACAACAGAAATTCTCAAAAAGTGAAAGGCTCTTTAGATTACTTGTTCAACTCGCCTGATCCCAGAAGCAATCACTGTCCCCTTCCGGAGCAGCTGGATTTTGTCCAGCAACCAATCGTCAAAAGCATCACCCATTCCTAGTTGTAGGATCTGTTTAACCACCCAAAAAATTTTCCGCCTGCAACGTGCACAAAAATATATAATGTAAGCATATCTGAACTTGACATCGGATCTAAAACCAAACATCTAAGCTTTTAGCTACGGATATAAAAGAAATGTGACTTTTCAGACTACCTAATCCATCCACCATCTTGAAGCTGGAAGATAACATCAAGCAGATCCAATATGGGAAGACTCAAATTTGGAGGCACCCACTGCATAGAAGAATTATAATCAGTCAGAATCAGTATTGCAGCCATGCATATGATAGTGTGCCTAAGAAGCAACTGACGATCAGGCATTATTGTTTCACTGTGCATGACCAAATGAAATGATAAATATTATACCTATTCATCTAGTCTAAAATGTAAATAAGCGTATGTAGAACCAAAAATTTGGGTTTATCTTAGAATCACCTCTGTAGGAAGAGCGTCAGAAGTATCATGGAGTAAATCAGACACCTCAATGGAACCATCAGGCTCTTTCCCTTGCGTTCTTCGCAACTTCTCAGGAGAAGTTTCACTCTTCCCTGCTCTAGCACTTGCATCAATGCCAGAATTTTCCAATAAATCCCGAGATTCCTTATCAAGAACAGCCTCATTACTTTTAGCAACAGTGTTTTCTCTTCTGGAGGCAAAGAGGTCACGTATAGAAAAATTGGAGGTGCTTTTACTTTTCTCAGATGGTTTATCATCCACGTCAACTAGGGTGGTTTCCAATAACCAACCAAAAAAAAAAAAAATACAAGTCAAAAGATAGGAAAAATTCAAAATATGCATGTCCAACGATATCTATCAAACATGAATCACCTGACAATGTTTTGACAATTGAAAGCAAATTTGAGAATCGGTACGTCTGCAATACAACGCAATAGTAAGCAATAAGCCAGAATATTAAAAAAAATAAAATAAAAAAGTGTTGGTGACAAAGGAAAACTTGTTGGACATAAAAACAGACCTGAGAGTCAATACTGAGAAAGTCCCATGCTTCAATTGATCCTGAAACTATTGGAAGCTGCATAAGCTCCTGAGTAGCAATAAGCCATGAGTCAATAGAAGTAATCAAGGTATAAAAGAACATGATCAGAAAATCCAGGAAAAGAATGCTATACTATGCATGCGTAGGTAATATCTCAAAATATGGATGCATTCATGTTCAACATCTATCCTGTCAGTATCGAAGTACTGATACTTCAATTTTATCACAAAACTGAAACCGGATGATTCGCTCTTTAATTAATGTTCATCAAGAATAAGAACCTACCAATCAGTCATAGGAACAGTGGGGACCTGGAAATGAGGGATCACATTATAACAAGAATCCATGTGGAAAAAAAATGAGAAGTCAGACGAAGCTTTGTTCTGAACGCTATTATATATCTTAAGAATGAGAACATGATTTAAATTAACAAGGACTGAACAAATTAAGCTTCTGACCTTTAAATAAATGTCCAACAACTTACAACGCTCTTGAACAACAGTTACATCTAAACCTGTTGACAGAAAATGTTTTGGAGGCAAATGAAGGTTATAATCAGGAGACTCTTTCAGGCGCCGATGTAGTTCCTCAAAATGACGAAACCTTAAAAATGAAAAAGAAACATCACAGAAGTAAGCCTAAAAAGAACATATAAGAAGACAACTTTAACTGACTAATATTAGGAACAAATCCATGAAGGATTAAGAAAACTTAGCACCTCCTTTTAATTGTCCAACTCCTATTATTTACATCTGTTACAGATATGGAATAGACAGCAAATGTTCCTGACCCACTCTTCACAATATTTGCGCCGAGGACCTGTGTCAGTTAATTAGATTACAAATAAATGTATTAGAAAAAAAAAAGTCAAGCATCATCAGCTAAAGGAGCTGCAACCTACAAATAAAATAAGTACCTCACATCTCAATTTGGGAAAAGAATGTACCGGAAGTGAACTTTTCAGGGGATTAACAGCAAAACTGCAAGATTCTGATCTAGAAATAAAGGATGCTGAAGTAGAAGCTGCTGCTCCACTATGTATTCTACCCAAATCGTCGCCAAACTGAATAAAATCCTCATAGTTTGCATTTGATGTTGATGACTCAAGTATATCATGTCCATCTCCAGATAAAAAGCTAGTTCTCTTAACTTCCTGCATGTTATGACCACTTGACCTTTTCCAGCCATATCGGGTTCTGGATAATCTTTGATAGCGCGGTTGTATCTTATTCACCTTTGTATTATGACTATCAAAATGTTCAAGTGGGTGGTGAGTGAGAGAGAAACCCCGATCTCTATTTCTTCTTCCATCCCAAACTTTAGTTCCCGTGGAGTTGAGACTGCTGATCATGCTAGTTTCATCATCTTCAGATGTATAAGACGTACTGCTCCCTGAATCAATCATCAGCAAACGCATGCGGCTTTGGTCATCATCTTGAGATGATGGAACTGATGGGCCAGTTGATCTACTCTGGTCTGCACAAAGAGTGTCTTCTACCATATAACGATTACTGCATCCCAAATTAGCACCGGCACCTTTGGAGGGATTAAGTTTAGAATTAGTTTCCTTTTCTTTAGGTCCTGATATTGCCTTCTTATGATCAATGTTTGGCAATTTTCCTCCCACAACATGTTGTGGGACAAGCTCACTTGACTGATTCTCCCCATCCCTGTTCTTGTAATTTCTCCCTTTTGTCCACATGTTCTCAAAATGTTCTGGAGCAAGAGCTTCGCTCTTCCTCTGGGACAGGAGATTTAAGATCTCACCCCACTGCCCTCCCGAGTGATACTGTTTAACACCTTGATTATCACTAATTCGGGAGTTTGACGGCAATGACTTCCATAAAAGTGATAATAGAGCATCAATCGAACGCAATGGATCTTTAGAAAAAGTATCAAAAGCATTATGCTCCACCCATGACTTTGCAGTTCTAGAATGACTATTTCCTAGCTGTACTAGCTCTAAACCAGTAACAGAAGAATCGAAATGCTTAGTAAAATGACCAGAAGATATCTTCAATCTATCATCCATAGAGTGAGACGCCTCTTGAACTGCGTTAGCTCCTTTGTTAAGTTTGGTCTTATTAATTACCACAGATTCAATTCTTTCATTAAGAAATCTGCCAGAGAAAAGGAAAAGGGGAAATGAGAATAGCAACAAATGCCAAAAATAAAGCAAAATAGCTCAAATGATACCTTGGACAAGCTAAGTTGAGAACAGGTCTCATCACTGCATGTGCAAGTAGTTCTCGACCAGCATATCGGATGAAAGAGCATTGCAGATCCTCATGCTTGAAAGTGACTGACATAAGACCTTCCATCAAATGCTGCAAAACCTGTTAATTAAGAACACATGTAATATTCCTCAAACTTAAGTAGTAGGAGGAATAGGAATAGAATTTTTTCCTCCTGGATAAGACTTAATTACTCATTATTCAGCATACGCAGATTACACTATAAAGTGGAGAACCTTGTGCTCAGCTTCAGCAGAAAATAAAGCAGGATGCAATTTGTCCTCTGCAGCCAATGCAAGTTTCAATTCTGTATCCCGAGATTCAGTTGTTAAAGGAGATGAGCTTTGCTTTTCAATTTCTGCCAAAGTAGCACGAAACACCTCCAAGTGTGTGCAAACAAGATCAATAAGATCACTAAACCACAAAGTAAAAGCTAATAATCAGTCAATCAGTTAATAGTGTCTAAAATATCATCGACAAGAAATGAAATAAAGAACCTTATCAAAAGTTCAATCAGGTTTACATTCCTCATCCGTCCTGAAATCTCTCCAAGAACACCAATTATTATTTGCACTAACTCCTCAGGACCCTCTCTATCTGGTGTCAACCGAGAGTACCACATGTTAGTCACCCACTCAGAAACGAGATGTCTAGTGAAGTGCTCCATTGCTTCCTCAACATCAGGGGAATTCACCTTTTCTCTCCAATCAGACTTTGCGATAACTCTGGCAGACTCAAGAGGTTTCCTTGAAGACTGAGCTGCGGTTGTGCAGGGTCTACTGTTGTATGCTACAGCTTTTCTCTTCATTTCAAAATCTAGTGATAAATAGCGGAGAACAATAACAAGAGAGGTAGCAACTGGCAAGTTTACCCAAACTGATGAGCTAGTCACTGAAATGAAAAGTAAAAGGGTTAATACCAAGACCTGGAAACAAATGAACCCCCAAAATCAACAAGTACAGAGTATAAAATCTTGTGCCCCAGATAATGGAGAGCTTAAAAATTTTAAAGTATATATCTACTCGTAAAACTAAATACTATTTATCAGAAGCACAAGATGGCAACCTAATAAACAAGGATAAGAGTGTGCAAGCCATGTGCCATAGAAAGAGGAAAACAAAGGGTGCGGTCCAGCAGTGAGGGAATAAGGCTCTAGCAGGAAAGTTGGGTCAGTCACAATGTCAATGAAATCTTTTGACATCAAACGAACACTAGAAGCAATATGTTCATGCAGCCAGCGAACCTGATCAAGCTTAGGAGCTAAACCAAACTGTAGCGGCATAAATGACATAAAGCACGACTTGTATTCTAAAAAGTAAGCAGACACAACTGGATCAGCAGCCATTCCTATCTTGATGAGTAGTTTAGAGTTTGCTTACTATAAGTCAAGCATAGATTTTTACCAAGAAAAAAAGACAAAGAAAGAAATTTCCGTTGCGATGCTTGCAAAGGAAACTTGTCGACCCATGATACAGACCAAATCATATTTTTAATCCATCTGGACCAAATCATTCATTAATAACCATAAGAAGAAAAGAAAAGCCAAAGCAATACTGTTGGATACATGATTTTGTATACTGACTCCAACCACCATTACAAAATAAATTAGCCTCTGAAACTTAGTGCCGTAATATGAAAGTACTCCAATCCCCCGATTACATCGTAGTACATGCTAAATGCCACCATTTTGATCCAACCATTTTTTCGCTTGTGCTTGGACAGTGAAGACCATGATATTTAAATGCTCCATGAAAAGAGTGTTGCTAGGAAAACCAAACTAGATAAGTTACAGAGTTAAGAGCCCCAAATGACCCCAAAAAAAAAAAAAATCTTGGAAATGATTAAAACAGAAACACACGATTTGGACGGAACAAGAGATTGCAGTGACGCACATAAATAAAATATCACAAATGTCTAGATTACCCATTCTGGACCCAAATGAACTATAGAATGAAAAATCAAAACTTCAAGCACGTACACTGAGAAACTTACACGACATGAGATATGACAGTCCCACAGCGCACATGACTAGAAAAACAATCCGTTTCTTCCCATCCTCGACGAAGTCTTTTGCCGTCACCCGGTTCGGCGTGCTCATATCAAATAGTCAATTGCGCCGCAATCACATTACAGTTACAAATAACAAATTTTTAAGCAAACGCCCCTCGTCTTTCCTTCTCCGACCCATGATGCAGAGGATCGTGCAATTAAGTTGCCATTAAATGAACAGAATTCAATTGACAATACCGAGAAAACTGATCGATGAAGATAAGGACAAAATGAAGTGGAAGAGAAAGGAAAAGATACTGTGCTGAAGAAATTCAACGGTATGACCGTTAGGTTTTATGTTTGGCATTATCCTGTTTGTCTGTATGTGGCGGTGGGTGGGCGTATAATTTCTCCAATCCTTTCCAGTTTTCCATTGCACTTTCTGGAAGCCTGATTGAAACTTCAACTACTCTCTGGTTGCTTCGCCCGGGCAATTCAGATGGCGTCACTGTCAGTTACATTTCTTGCAATTTATGAATTTTATCAGCAAATCCAAAACAATACTCAACAATCCCTCCTTTCAAAACACAAGGCATGCTTTGTAAAATTAGTCTTCCGATCTTAAATGTTAAACATAGTACATATGACTAATTTTGAAAAATTAAAAATTAGTTAAATTAATTATTGGGAAAATCCCAATTAAATCTATCTAAAATAATGAAATTCCAATTAAGGCTTATACTTTTAACGAATTTCTAATTAGACTAAGAGGCCTTATTAGGGATTTTCAAATGTTGCTAAAAGACCGGAATGCGTTTTTGTAATCAAAAAGGAAAATTGAATGTAAGTGTAAATCTAATTTTAGTTTTAATTGTTCTAGTAGATTTACTAATGAGGACATGGTCTTTCTTAGATTTTATGTCAAAGGTGTGTTTTGTAATTGTGAATCTTATGTCAACTCTAGAATTTATAGCCTTTTATTTTTTTTATATAATAAAAATTTGATATTGAATAAATGTTGAAGACCGGAAAATTAAAGATGAATTAATGAGTCTCACTGTAAGTTGTGAAATAGTAAAATTAATTTTGATAGATATTCAAGAATTCCATGAATCTTTGATTTGGTCTTTTTCTCACACAAAAAAAAAAAAAAATTGATCTTGTTAATCTTTTACATTTGAAATCGTAAAATTTTTATTAGTTCCCATATTTTTGCAATTCTATAGATATCTAGAAATTATGTATTTTTTTATCTTGAATTTTGAATTATTTTTTATGGGCTATAATTGTTATTTTTCTTTTTTTGTTTTTTATATGATAATGTTTTTGGCCAAATTTTCATGTGATAATGTTTAAAGAAAAAAAAACATGTTAGTTAAATTCAATTAAAAGAATTAAAACTAAAATTAGGCTTTTTAATTATGAAGGGCATTTTGGTCTTTTAGAAACATTTAGAAATCCCCAGTTAGGCCTCTTGGCCTAATTAAGAATTTGTTAAAAGTGTAGGCTTAAATTAGAATGTTGCTATTTCAAATGGATTTAATTAGAATTTTCCCTTAATTATTTGACTTTTTAAGCTTTTATATTAGCAATTACTACCTCCGATCCTTAATATAAAATCATGTTTAACTTTTATTTTGGTCTTAAATATAAAACTTCATTCCATTTTGTCTCTCATATTTATACATTTTTTTTTCTAAAGTAGCCCTTCTAACAATGATAGTTCTAGTCAATACACTTGATTAGTAATGATATTTTAGAAAAAATAATACCTATTTAGAACAAATAACTAACTCAACTTGCCTCCTTAATCTCTTTAAATTAGTCAACTAGCTCTTATAATTAAGACCGGAGATAATACTTCTTAATAAAAACTCTTTAATAAAATAATTAACAGAGAAAAAGGTTATGATAATTAAAATCAAAAGGCCTATGACAAGCAAAATTATGCAAAAATCGTTAAAAAAAAAAAGACTTTGAGAATAAAAAATTGCGAATAAAAACCTATTACAATATTGGTAATGGTTTTGATAATAATTAATAAGTAAATGACAATGATTTTTGTGAACTGGTCATAATACGTAGTAGTATTTCAATTTTTAAGGTCTTCTATGATTTTTTCTAAATTTTTTGGAATTCATATGTGTGTGTGTGTGTGTGTGTGTGTGTGTGTGTGTGTGTGTGTGTGTGGGCGCGAGCATCTTACAATTTTTTTCTATACGCAATCATGTTCAAATGTTAAGTATAAACACTTTTTTTTTTTCTTGGGTCTTTCAGATCTCATCTAACTAGAGATGTTGATGTGAAATGAATTTTCCATTTCATGCATATGGATGAAGTGACGGGTGAACCAATAAAGAACAAAAGGAAAAATATCATTCCGAAACTTTTACTCTCTTAGTCCATTCACACCTAATTATGTCTCAATAATATGCAGATTAGACGTAGACAATGCCATTACTCTTTAGAAATGGAATGTATTGTGACTATTTGAAATGATTAATTTATTTTTCAATAAATCATTGTCCTCAGGAAAATTACATTATATCCGGAGAAGCATTGTATATTTGAATATGCATAACTATTTTACTTGTTATGCAACAGAAATTAAATTAACGTTGGTCTGAGTCCTCATAATAAGATTTAAGATTTAGTTATGAGCATTTTTCAAAACACCCGTTAATTTGAAAAATGTTTACAAAAAAATCATTATTTTTCAAAAGATAATACTGATGAGCATCAAAAAATAGAAATTTCCGTAATAGATCAAATTAATACATATCGTTAATTTTGCTTAAAATCATCATTTATATTCTTTTGCATTACTACTATAACTGGACGAATATTATGTATTTAATTTTTTGGGTAAGATGAAGAGAATTCGAACGTTGAATGTTTCTCATATCCTACTCCATCGCTTATTACCAAAGCAAACATTAATTAGTATTATACTACCTCTGCTATTTAATATCAAAATTAGTTAACTAATTTGAATATATTTAAAAAATTAATTATGTTATTTATTTGTACTAAATAGATGTTATTTTTTTTAAAAAAATATCTTTATTAATCAAATGTATTGACTATAATTATCATTATTACAAGGATTACCTTGAACAGAAAGGAATAAATATGAAAGATAAAATGGACTGAAGTCTTATATTTAGAATCAAAATAAAAGTCAAACAAGTTCTTATATTAAGGATCAGAGGTAGTATATTTTCTTTTTGGCAAAGTTATGCAAAATCCTCCAAATTTTATGTCATATATAAATAATCTCTTTAACCTTTGAAATTCTAAAAATTAAGGATGTTATTTATACATAATTTTAGATTTAGCAAAGTTTTAGCCCATGTTTTTAAAACCCTTTATAAATAGATAGATTGTTTTTTATTTGGGGCTCCATTCTCGTAATTATCATTTTTATTAGGCTATGATTATCCCTGCAATTTAGCCCATTTTTTCCAAAAAAAAACCTTTATTAAAAAAAATAAAAAATAAAAAAGGGCCACCTAGTGCCATGGGGACCGCCGTGGGTTGGGGAATTATGACAGCAGGATGACCTATAATTTGAGGGGGACGGGAGGTGACTAAAACCTTCAACGCCTATTGGTTCACCGTATGAAATAGGAATCATCCATCGCTTTACTTGTAAAACTCTATTCAAAGTTTCAAACATTTCTCAACGCCATCCTTTTGCTTTTTCTGTTTCCTCGGGCTTTACGCCCTTTTAGAACCTAGTTTTCCCCTTATCATTTTCACTTCAAATTGATTCACGCGCTTAAATTCGCCCAAACAAAATAAGAGTATCTCGTGAACATGTGCCTATGATAGAACATATACTGGGCTGAGTCTAGTAAAAAAAATATATATAATATGATAAATTAAAATTCAAATTTTTTTGTTTTGTAAGAAGATGTTCACATGTATTAAGAATTTTTTATTAAGAAAGTATTATTCAATACAAATAATTATTTTATGAAGACCAATATGTATTTTACAAATAATTAATCGGGTTAATAATATATTTAGTTCTTGAAATTTGATCTTATTTTAGTTTTGGTTGTTAAAATTTGAAATTAAAAATTTTGATTATTAAATTTTGGTTTCATTTTGACCCTCCTAATTTAATCTTTAAAATAGTGTTTTTGGTTTTTGAAATCTTGTTTCAAGATTAAAACTAAAATGAGGTTAAATTTCATGATTTTTTTCCTCCAAAAGGCTAAATTTCAGGATAAAAAATAGTATTAACCCTAACTAATATAAATAATTTTTTTGGTTTCTATAATTATTTAAGTCTTACATTTAGTTAATAATAATAAATAACGTTTGATCAACATGAGAGGAAGGAAATTCTTAAAATAAAAGGGATGAAACCAAAAAAAAAAGAATTTATAATTTTAGCGGCGGAATTAAGAAGACGGCAAAAGATCTTGGGTAGGCAAAACGCAAGGGAGATCCAACAAAACGACATGACGTGCCGAATCCCCTCCCGCAGGATGGAATCTTCCGTACAGAATTGTTTCCATTCTCGTTTCTCAATTTTCACAGTGTCGCTCACTGACATGGTCCACCACTATCTGCTCATCGCGTCCCATGTGATGATACAATGTTCAATCTTGGTATTTGTTTATTTGATTGATATTTCTATCTTCCTTAATGCTCATGTTCTTTCTTTCTCGCTGTTCCTTTTTTCTTCCTCCATTCACACCTGAACCTCTCTGACCACAAACCCTTCTTCTCCGGCGATGTCTTTGCTGCCTCCGGAAACATCTCAGCCTGGCAACTCCACGGCTCCTCCTCCGCCTCCTGTCACCACCAATGACACCTCTCCTCCAGCTCCGAGTAATTCCATGTCACCTACCGCCACTCCGTCGGCGCCACCTCCTCCGGGCGCGCCTCAGACGCCGGCGGCGGACTCAGACGGACTGTCCAACGCTGCAATAGCCGGACTAGTTGTCGGAACTGTGTTTGGCTCGCTGCTTATGCTCGCTTGTGTGGGCATTTGTGCTTTTTTCTATAAAAGAAGAAAGCGGAGGAGGATGAGCAAATATGGGATGAACGATCACTCTGCTGCTCCTCCATCCCAACCCAAAGGTAAGCCTTTTCTTGTTTCCTTTATGTAGTGTGTGTACTTGTTTTCTTTAAAATTTTGGAGGGTGTTTTTGTCATAGTTTGCTGTAATTTTTAATTCACGTGAACGGTTTTTTCCCGTCATTCGGTGTATTAAATGGATATAACGAACATATAAGTCAGTTAGAGTTGTCGATTAGTACTCCGACAACAAGTGCGAATGTGGCGTCACATTATACAGTATGTAATTATTTGCTGAAATCTATTGGATTGAGACACTCATTGACTCCATTATACTGCTTCCTGGAGGAAAAGTTTCTATATTAAGCGACGCACGAAGTATGTTTAATTTCAGTTACTCATTTTATCTCTCTATGCTCTGTCTCGTTTGTTTGCTGGAAAGGGGTTCTATGTCCAGTGGGCTGATATTATCATTTATTTAGGCGGCATTGTGCTTTTTCTGCTTTTCGCATTGTATCTAGGTTGATCGCCTATGGTTGGACAAACCTGTATTGCTTTAGTTGCCTTGAATAAACTTTTAGCCCAATTTGTTATACATGAAGTGTGATTTTAATTTTATGAATGTATGTTAAATTGCACCTAATTCTGGTTCTCAACGATTCTTGATGCCAATTTCTCCAGCTGATCAGTTTGGTGGTCCGCCCCAGCAATGGCAGCATAGCATTCCTCCTCCAACCGATGGTGGAGCGACATTGCCTCCCAAGCCAAGTCCATCCCCTGGAGTTCTGTTGAATCAGCAAGCATCTCCTCCTATATATTCTGCAAGTGGCACAAGTCTGGAATCTGAGAGGCCATACCATGCACCATCGCCTGCCATTGCCTTTGGACTCTCACAAATCTCGTTTACATATGAAGAACTTGCGTTGGCAACAAATGGATTCTCAGACTCAAATCTTCTTGGTCAAGGTGGGTTTGGCTATGTCCATAAAGGAGTTCTCCGAAATGGGAAAACTGTTGCAATTAAGCAGCTGAAATCTGGAAGCAGACAGGGGGAGCGTGAGTTCCAGGCTGAAGTGGAGATCATTAGTCGAGTCCATCACAGACATCTTGTTTCCTTAGTTGGATACTGCATTGCTGGAGTCCAGAGGATGCTTGTATATGAGTTTGTCCCAAACAATACACTAGAATTCCATTTACATGGTAAGGTTCTGATGTTAACTTTTTCCCCTCATCTTCCCAAATAGGGAAGCATGCAAAAGTGATGTACAATGGAGAATGGCTTTGCTCTTTTTTTTGTTTTTTTGTTTTTTTGTTTTTTGTTTTCCCCTTCTCTTCTGAGACATGATTTGCTGAAAATATGGTCACCTACAGTTTGCGATTTATTCTTTAGGAGCCATTCCCGAACTTCCAATAACAACTGCACATTGTTCATCAAACACATCAGGTTGATTTTTTCTTGGGCTGTTGGAACACTTGTAAGGTATTTGAAACTAAATCTAGATTATAATTATTGAAAACTAGAAATCAGTATCTGGGGAAATTTTTCATAGAGTTGTTACGATTTTGGATCTGATTGCATCCCCCTGTTCTATGAGAATAAAAATAGAGTAAACAAAATTACGAGCTCAAAATTCACTGTAGATATACATTTGTTGACAGGAACCCTGCCTTGTACAACAATTAGAGAATTTGAAGGTTATAAGTCAACACGTAGGTTTAATATTAAAGAATCAACCTCTCAAAGTTTGCTGAGTGCATTGGGAATTTAAGGTTGGAAAGAAATTAATTGGGAGAAGATTTTAAAAAAAATTTTCTGGTATCGGGAGGAGAAGATTTTTAAAGTTAATCTGAGAACTATTGGTGTAGAATGCTGGAAGGGCTTTAGGGTTACTAGTTCAATTTGACCTGAGGGTTATTATTGGTGTAGAAAAATCATGAGGATCACAATTTCTGTTTTAAAACGCAAATTTATTCCCTTGTTGTTTACTTTAGTTAAAGTGTTATTTTGATTTCATGTTATGGTTTTCTATGTACTTTGCTATGGTCTTCTGTTGAAAATATATCACAGTATGTACTTTGCCTGACCTGTGTTGGCTATTGAGGGACGAGGGGCTCCACTATTGAGTTGTAGATTTGATAATCTTACGGGTAATATATAACCATATGTGATGGTTCCATTCATAATCATTCCAGGAAAAGATAGAGCAACAATGGACTGGGCAACAAGGATAAAAATTGCTATTGGATCTGCAAAGGGATTGGCTTATCTGCATGAGGACTGTGAGTTTGCTTTAGAATTTACATAACTAATCTACAATAGAGTCCTGGCAGTTCTTTTGGTTCGCCATGGTGGTCTTGGAATTTTTAGTTTTTTTTCTGTCTAATATTGTTTTAGGTCACCCAAAAATCATACATCGTGACATCAAGGCATCAAACATTCTTCTTGATGACAAGTTTGAGGCGAAGGTAGGACTTGTAACTTTCTAAACTCTTCAGTCCCTTCCAAAATTTGTAAATTATGCAAGAGAAACAATACCTTTAGGTTTTCAATGTGCAAAAATTCATTTTCTCTCAAGCCCTCTCTTATGCCTGTGTTGTTTATTATTCAGGTTGCAGATTTTGGACTTGCCAAATTTTCATCAGATGCCGAGACCCACGTCTCCACTCGAGTAATGGGAACCTTTGGGTAAATTTTTATTCTGCTGAATCTTTTCTCTTGAGTCTCGCTATGAAATAAATTTATTGGGCAATATATTTCTTTGACCCCTCCCCCTTTTTATTAACTGTTTTGTAGCTTCTTTTTTTTTTTTTTTGGGTTCTGAATTCTGATTCTGAGTTAATTTAACGCAGATACCTGGCTCCAGAATATGCTGCCAGTGGGAAGCTCACTGAGAAGTCAGATGTCTTCTCCTTTGGTGTTGTACTTTTGGAGTTGATTACAGGGCGAAGACCTGTTGATAAAACTCAGTCTTTTACAGATGACAGTATGGTTGAGTGGGTGGGTACAATACTTTATCAATATTTCTCTATCGAGAAACAGATATTTATGGTATATTACAGTTTGTGTATTTTTTAAGCATGTGTGTGTGTGTGTGTTGAGTTTATGATTATTACTACTAATTGCTACAGGGCAGAAGGTCTGGTTACTCTGTTTATGGCTTACATCATTACTTTTTATATTTTATTTAAATTTGGATATTTTTCTTCTATTTTTCCGGCTTAGGAAATCTTTTTTCACGACTTGTATTTGCTGCGGGTCTTGAGAAACTCATAAGTGCGTAGTTTGTACATTGGGTCGCTTCGAAAGTAAATTATGTGGTGAGCTGAAAAACTACCAAACTAATTTGCTCCTTTCTAATCATTTGAAGATGTCAAGTATTTGTTGAACTGTGAGCTAAAGCTGATACTTGTGATGAATAGTTGAGACGACTGGTCTACAAAACATTATTCAATTCTTCAATTGTCTATCAGCGCTCAGCATTGCCTTTGCTGACTGAAATAATGGTTTAAACACCCCCCAAAAAAAAAAAAAAAAAAAAAGCCCTCTGCGATAACTTGTAATGGATAAGTGATATGCACTAAGATATTGTACAAATTACAGGCAAGGCCTTTGCTTTCTCAAGCTATGGAAAATGGCAACTTCGATGCTCTTGCTGATCCAAGGTTGCAGAATAGTTACAACTCTGAGGAGATGCTTCGAATGATTGCCTGCGCTGCAAATTGTGTGCGCTATTCAGCTAGGCATCGGCCTCGAATGAGCCAGGTCAGTTAACCAAGTGTAGAAACTTGTTTTTAGTTCTCCGTTATTTTCTATTGACGAATTCTCCGCAACTGCGCATCCCACCTATTTCTCTGGAAAAAACGAGTCCAGTAACACTTGCAATATATTGTCAAGTTATTGCAAGCTACTGGGAAAAATCTGATAGAATGTCTGATGATATTTTGGAATGTAGAAATTCCGACATCCGATTTGACCATTTGCAAATAGAATTCTGGAATCTAGAGATCCAGTGCTTGCTTGTAAAGATTAAAAGATGTTCGGCATTAAGCAGGTAGTTCGGGCTCTAGAAGGCAATATTTCTTTGGATGATCTGAATGAGGGGAGCACATCTGGGCACAGCAGAGCACTTAGTTCCTTCGAAAGTTCAGGTTATGATACTGGCCAATACAATGAGGACCTAAAGAAGTTCAGGAAGCTGGCACTAGAGCAAGAAACTAGTGAATACAGTGGCCCCAGTAGCGATTATGGTCAGCAACGGTCTGCCTCAAGCAGTTCAGGCCCGCAAAATACGCAGGAGAAATAATGGGGAATGTGGAACTGGAGATTCGCTGAGTTTCGGTGGAAGCCTTTGAGTCTTTGGCTGATAATTATTACGAGTTGAGGGAGGAGGATTGGCACTTCATTTGTTGAAAAATGAACACCTGAGTCGTTGGTAAATATAATTTGTCGGTAGATTTTGCAGGTTCAGCGTACAAATTGGTCTGTTCGTTGATTTCAACAACTTAATTTTTCCCTCAGAAGTAAGATTCTGTTGAGCAATGTAATTGAAATGAGTGTAAGCTGGTTTCACCCTGGAAGCAGACATCTGCTGAACAAAAGAAAGCCGCAACATTGAGTTTTGAGACGAAGGGGTGGATCTGAATTTGTTTGGTTTCCTTTGTAAGGATGCATTATACAGTTAGATTGCTGGCATTGATTTTTCTTGTATTTATAGTAATGTTAATATTATGAGTAATGGTGTTTACACGTTCAAGATACTACTAGTCTGCTCTGCCCGTTACTTTTTATCGAATTTATACATTTATGGAATTGCCGACTCATGACGTTATCATTCCATGTTATTGGAAACTGAGATAAATTATTGGTTAGACGGGATTGTCATGAGTCTTGCTATATTAAGCTTCGTTTCTCTATTAAGCATGGGGGCTAATTGCAACTTAACCTATTAATAAACATGAAAGGAATGCTGCCTATGGGCATTCCCCGCTCGTAATGTGAACTTGAGTAATCTGTCTTGAAAAGGTTTTTTTTGTCTCTTCAATTTGTGAAGAATTGCGTTTATGCTAAAAAAAAAGATTGTGTTTTTCTCTAGAAAAAAATCTGAAAACCAAAGTAGACACTCATATAAGAAAATATTGTATTTGTCAATTTTTAGTTAGTTCCCCCCACTATTTTCCTTGATCATATAAGAGATCTCCTCTCCCCTCCCACTAAACAAAGCATATGACCTCCCCTCTCCTTCCTTTCGCTTCGCTTAATTAATCTCTCCTGCTCTCTTCTCTGCTGAACCAAACATAGCATTAGAGCTTATTCGGCAAATTATTTTACGTTTTATAAGATAAATACAATGAAAAATCACTCAAAATAAATTCTTTCAAAATTGTCTCGCTCAATTGTAATTCGGGTTTCTCATACTTCTAAGGAGATGTGTTCGTTTGATTGGGTTTTTTCCACCTCCATCATTGGCTTCTGTCAATGCTGTTATTTCCTTTCATTCTGTTTGAAGTTTGTTTTTTCGCTTTGGGGTGTAAATCTTGGCTGCAGTAATAATACTAGTTTCTCCCCTCCCCCCCCCCCCCAAAAAAAAAAGTAAAAAAAGGCTAATGCAAACCTTTTTAGCATTTCGATTTTCAAGCCTAGGAGAATACTGCTTTGATGATAAAAAAATAGTCCCTCGGGTGCTTTTTCATAAAAGTTTCAATTTTTCAAATGCATCTGGTTTTTTTTTATAAGGTACACTGTTAAAAGTGTCTATTTAATACATTTTTTAATTTTTATCCCTAACTAATTATATATTTTTATTTTTATTTTTATTTTTATTTTTTACGATTCATTCTCTCTCGTGTTTTTTTCTACTAACTCACTCTGCCACTCACACTCTCCATAGATAAAAAGAGCTTTTGAGAAAAATAAGTTGCATTGTTTAGATATTTATTAGGAAAAAAGACAGTAAAATATCCTCAAAATTACTAAATGACAAATTAGGGTAGGTAAATTTCAAAATCCCAATTCAGACCCCAGGTAATATTTTGGAATTTTCAAATCTTGTAAAATGACAACATTGTCTTTACTGTCGGTGACTACTTCCAGATAGCTATTGACTACTCTGTTTTAACTATTGACAACTTTTGTTTTCAAAGTTCCAATAAATATTTTTATATAACTATTGACTATACAAGAGTAGTAAATCGCATTACTGGAGTTGTCAATAGCTTACCAAGAGTAGTCATCAGAATTTAAAAATAAATGTAGTTAATAGCTAAAAAAGAATAGTCAATACATAAGCAAGAGTAGTCATCAGAATTTAAAAATAAACGTAGTCAATAGCTAAAAAAGAGTAGTCAATACATAAGAAAGAGTAGTCACTAGAGCACCCCTGACCAGTCATCGGAGTTTCGGTAACGTGTCATCAAAGTTCAAAAATAAATGTAGTCAATGGATAAAAAAGAGTAGTCAATATATAAGAAAGAGTAGTCATCGGAGCTCCGACAACCGGTCACCGGAACTCCGATGACCAGTCGCCGGAGCTCCGGTGGTTGGTCGCCGGCAGGGTCGTCGGCGTCGGAGCTCTGGCAGCCGGAATTGATGATGTGGCAGTATTTTAAAAAAAAGTAAAAAAAAAAAGGTAAAGGGCATTTGTGTAATTTTACAAGATTTGAAAATTCTAAAATGGTACCTAGGGTCTGAATTGAGATTTTAAAATTTACCTACCCTAATTTGTCATTTAGTAATTTTAAGGGTATTTTACTGTCTTTTTCCCTATTTATTATCTCCAACACTTTTAACCAGCTTTTTAGTTTGTATAATTTAATTATTTTGAAACTTATAAAAAAGACTGCGGCGGTTCGTAAAATAGCTTGAGATGGATGGCTCACAGTGCAGACATCTAATCAGAGAAGCTAGTGGGTTACCGTCCAGACATTTGGATTGATCAAATCTTCGGTCAAGTCGGTGACAAAATAAGTAAATACATAAAATACATTAACCACTCATATATTTTATATAAATTATAAAAACATTCTCTCTATTTTGAAAATACTTGTAAACTCCTCATTTAAAATTAAAATGCATATTACATAAACCTTTTTTTATAGACTTGAAATTTAATTTTCATATACCTAAAATGATTAGTTGACCATTAAATTTGACTTTTAAATTTTTATTTTGACTAAAATACTATTATTTAACATAAGAATTATTGAAACATTTATATTATCCAAGAATAAATTTTTATACGATATACAACTAATTCTAATACATATATTTTCAAATTTTCCATATGTTATAAAATTTATTGTTTTTGATTATATTATAAAATTTTATAATTTTTAAAATTTTTAATACATAACTTGAGAATAAAAATAAACAAGCTCATATATAATACTCCTTCCGGTCTTATTTATAAGTTTTAAATTTGAAGGGTGATGTGGTCTATTTTATAAGCTTAAATTTGAAGTTTATCTAAACATTTAATACATGTTTTGAATTTTGTCCTTAATTACTTATTTTCTCTCTTTTGCTATACTCTCTTATTTCGTTTCTCCGTATATTTTCTTTTCTTTTTAATTATTACAAGAACATATTTGAAAACAAAACTATATTTTTAACTTATTTATTATTTTTAACAAAACTTAACTAATTATTTAAAGTTTATAATACCAAACGGAGGGAGTAATATGTATCGGTCGCAACTCTCAACTGCTGTGCACTTTTAATATAATATTATTATAATACTCTTCCTGTCCTTAATATAAGAATCTAATTATTAAATTGGTCTTGGTCTTAAATATAAGATCTATTTATCATATTTATCAATTTTCTCTAAATTACCCCTATAGATACTCCTCAACCATAATCAAGTAAAAAAAGAGATGAGATATTAAGAAAGATGATTATGGTGTTTTAGAAAAAATGTGTCACATTTCTTATGATTAACTAACTTACTTAACTTTTTAAATCTAATTAAATTAATTAAAAAGGTTTTATATTAAGAATCGGAATAGTATTATTCTTCTTTCTTGTTTTCTTACTTTGTTTAAAAAAATCATTTCACTGCAACAACTGCATGTTTTGGTTGTTTTGCGGTTTCTTTTTTTCGGCCTGAAGGTTGCTTTTCAATTTCACTTCCCAAGGCCAAGGGTGCAGAAACAGTGCAGCTTTTTATTTAAAATATTTTGATGGTGCTGCATCAGGTGTTGCTCAAAAATTAAAGTGGGAGACGGCTTTGGCAGCGGTTGGCGGCATGGACCCCTCCTCGTACAAAACCAGAAGCTGGTGAAGATCTAATTTTGATGGCTTTTTTAACTCTTTTTTTTTAATGAAAAGGAAAAATAAAATTAAAATTAAAATAAAGGAGGTTTAACAGGCTAAAAGAAGCAGCGAAAAAAAAAAAGGACAAGAAACTGGGAACCTAGAGAAGTCTTCAAAAGAAAGAAGAGAATTATGAAGTACTGATAATGCAAGGATTTCCCGCAGAGTTTGCAGCCGCAAAGCTGATAAAATGTTTGCCCACGCATAGTGTTCAAATGAGATTCCACTGGTGGAGGGCCTTGCCGGACAAGAAATGTTAGTTCATGAGATCTTTCCGGATACATGCATGATGATGATGATGCTCCGTACATGTGAATAATTTGTTACGAGTGTAGGAAAAGCCAAGTCTGATGGCTACTTTGCACCTGGAGTGAAAATGAATACAGCCCCGTTATTGCTCCATTATTGCTCGATGTGGGCCAAGTAAAGAGGGCAACCCACTAAGTATACTAAGCAGAGTATAGCTCCATTATTGCTCGGCCATTCCAACATGTATCCTTGGCAGCTGCGGTGCCTTGTTCTTGCGGTACTCACCGCTTCAGATCACCTCATTCTCCTTCACAGTCAGCAAGTGCCTCCGGCCTACACAGAGTCGCCGCCGATTCCCTCCACTTCTTCAATAAACTACGGATTAATCGGATTAGCGATTGTGTTTATTTCGGCGATCACGGTGGGGTTATGTTGGATTTTCTTTGTATGTACTCCACAACGAAAATCAGGTAAACCCTTTTTCTTGCTTTTCTTTCTGCTAAGGCTTTAGCAGGGGAAGGTTTCACAAGTGAGAGAGAGTGAGAGAGAGAGAGAGAGTCCCTAAAATATCTCTGCTCTTGCCTCGTCTTTGAATTTTACCTTTACAATCAGTCAGTATTTTACATACATACAAATCATCCATACCCGTTCGTTCGTTTCCCTCTTGGAGCATTTGAGATGTCCATACGAAATTATTATACAAACTTTTACAGCTCCTTATGATCTAAGTATAATGCCATGTGATACGTGATTATTGCATAGGGTTAGATTGGAACCATAGGGTGGAAATGGGTATGCACTCGTGGTCCCGCCGGTGCTTGCGGCGGTTTATATTTTGAGATTAGATATTCCATAAAACCATTATTATTATTATTATTTTTTGAGTCTTCTGTTTCAATTTCGTTGCTACTGAAGATTCAGTGCTCATATATAAATAAAATATCTCATCAATCACCTATCCCAAGATTCAATATTTAGTGGGATTAAGTTTTTGCTGTTTAAGGCACAATAGAAATACAATCCTTAGGAGAAATTTTCACCCAACTCAATCTATATTTTTCGAAATTTGTTTTCTATATCTGGAAGATTTCATTGTTTATTGCTATCCAAAATGAAATTCATGAAAAATAACTTTCAGTGACGTATGATAAATCTATTAGCCTCTTTCAATACAGTTGTTACTGTGTATTGCATAAGCCAACCTTGATGGCAAAAAGCCAGATCCAATAAGCACAGGTAAGCATTAGCCCCCATTGTGCCTTCTCAACTATAAAATTTTCTTTTGATTAGGATGGAATTCAAATGCAAT